GGTACGCACACCTGTTCAATCAGCCACCACCTTTAAAGTGGCATGCCTGTTTGGCCGTCCCCCATGAGGCCACACAATTCACCGTCAGTGGAGGGAGAGGAGGGGGGGGGGGGGCGGAAGGGGAGAGGCACAGATTTGGAAGATGTTAGATGCCAGTCTATTCTTTTTTAAGAACCTGTGCAGAATCAAACCATACATTCATACAAACCATTGTTTGTCTCATATATGTGCAAACAACAGACAGATGGGCATAAAAAAAACAATAGCTACTTGGATTACACTTTTTCCTAGAGGAAGCGAACAGACAGTATAGCCCTAAATAACGAAATGGTGTCTTTTTTTTCTTCTTCTTTTTTTCCCCCCTAGGTGTGTACAATTTTCAGACACCAGGGCAGGCAACTTGAAAATTCATTTAACAATTAAAAGTTAAAATGTTGTGAACAGCTTTACGTGATACGTACTCGCTGGCTACCATGCATGGCTCAGGTTTGCCGATCCCTAACATCAACGATCTGACAAAAAAACATGGTCGGGAGAAGATGTACTGGTTGCTAAGTGGTTTTCCAAAACTAACTTAACTAAAGCATAAAAGAATTATGGTCATCTGTTCCTTCCTTCCTTCTCATTCATTCACCAAACTAACTTAACTAAAGCATAAAAGAATTATGGTCATCTGTTCCTTCCTCCCTTCCTTCTGGTTCATTCATTCCAACGACTCACCATGGACCAGACTGTCCAGGAAAGAAAGAATCGGCTTTTTAAAGTAAAGCCAAGACAAGATAGATAGCAGCTGTGTTCTGCTACCACTCCTGCAATTTAGCAGGCAAACGTTCAAACTACTACAGCTACTACCTCCTTCCCCCGAATACAACGTACTACGGTCATTATCGCTGTATATTTAGACTGACAGGTACCCCAAATTCAGCTGTAATGACCGTACGTTGCATTCGTGGGAAGACTGGTAGACTACCAAACCGTTGTCGGGGGTCGGGCCTGGCCAGTCGCAACCATATGCAGTGAATCTGCACCATAGTTTCTCTGGAGGGGTGCAACCCTACTTTGTTATAAATTTCTGAAACATCCCCTCCCCCCCCTCCCCTCCCTTCCCCCCCTT